TTTTAATATGTCTCAGTTTATCTTTTAACAGGTGCTATCAGTCCAAACGATGATTAGAAAAGAACCACAATGGGAATTGGTCCAAAGGCCAAAGACAAATATGAAAAATTGAGAGAAATATTTCTAAACAGATGACAGATGAAAGTTGTCATATAAAGAAGGATCATACATCGGGGTTAAAAGATGGATACGAAGCTTAAGTGGGAAATGGACATGATCAGAGCGCTCTGTAAATGGAAAGTAAAAGTGATGCTCAACTTCAGTAATAATCAAAGAAATGCAATTTTGCAATAATAATAACACCACTCTGCCTATCAAATGGGTAAAGATCAGCCAGTGTGGGGGTGGGAAGGGTTAGGGAAAAAGGCCCTTCATGGGCTGCATGTGGGAATGTAAAATGGGTCAGTGTTTTTCCAGAGCCATCTGAAAATAAGTCCAAAAGCCATTAAAATCAGAAAATGTTTATATTCTTTGGCCTCACATACACACTTGAAGGCATTTATCCCAAGGAAATAGAAAGATATAAAAAACTTTTGTTTGTAAAAATGTTCATTAGAGTTCTGTTTCTAATACTATAAAATTGGAAAGAACCGAAATGCCCAACAACAGAAACTGATTAAATAAATTATAGTTCATTAATATAATGAACTAGGATGCAGCCATTTGTTCCAAATATATTTCTGTCCCATCCTCTTTCAGAGACTCCCATTACAGATATATCACAGGCCACTTGAGTTGTACCAGAACTCACTGATGCTCACTCTTTCCTCTCCGTTTCCTGAAGACATTACTGCCCTGGAGTTTTCAGCCTGCCTGGTAAGTGCGGAAAGTAAGCCTTGGCAGCCAAAAGCAGTCCTCAGGCAAAGAGATGGGGTGTTGGCAGCTGGAAGTAGGACAGGCATAATGGAAATGGTGGCCAAGGAGATACCGGCAGAGCCCCAAAGGCTACTTTTGTCTGAAACCTTCCCTTTCCTAGTTCCAGATCCCACTCTGACTTCTAACCAACATCACAGTCCACTGATATACCAAGTGCATCTTCACACTGAGGTAAAAAATCATGCCCTGAGCAGGTTCAGGGGCAGGAAGGAATGCATGTACAAACCAGGACGGGGAACGGGAAGCCGTATTCACAGGGGTAAGCTGTGCGCTGGTGAAGGCTGTACAAGAGCCCTAGCTATCTCCTCCTGCTGCTGGATGGCCAGCCACACAAAGGCTTCTTCATCTTTGTCACGGCCCATCCCGGTACTGGCAGGTGATGCTCGGCAGATTACACGCAAACCGGGCAGGTAAGGAGAATAACTGGGCCGCCATGGGCCTGGGAACTAGGATGGGGAGGCGGAAAGGAGTCAGACAGGCAAGGGACAGGCTGACTGACAAAGGAAAGGGTGCCAGCACTTACAGGAGGGGCCTGTCAGGAACGTGGGAGGAGTTGTTCCTTGGCCAGAGGAGAGAAGCACTGACCATGAAGAGGTACTTGTTTGAAAAGAACCACTTGATTCAAAGTAAAACAAAAAACAAAACAAAAAAATGTTATCCCTTGAAAAGCCAACTTCCAGCTAATCTCTGGAATGAGAAAGAAACCCCCTATGATTCAATGCCATGCCCCAGGGTGGCAAAACACACACACACACACACCTCTCACCCAGCTGTAAACTGGTAAACCAAAGACATCTTCTGTGGGCATTTTAGTATTTATGAACCACTTGACAGCTGATTAAACCCAGATGTGCACTGCACACACACACACAAAACACAACCAAACAGGCCTTCCCAGCATGCCACACCCTCTCACCCCAGCACTGTGCCTCTGAGTGCCAACTCCTGTTACATCAGGATCTGGGGCTCTGTGACACAGGCCCTCACATCCTAGTCCAGGACTGGCCACGCCCCTCACTCTCTCCATCCAGATATAGTCCCGCCCCTGCCACCATTACCACACTTTCTACCACTGCTTCCATCCAAGGAGCTGAGAACCTAGAAATCTGGGGGTTCACCGTTTTCTCTTGGAATCCCTCCATTTTTTGAAAAGCTTTTCAGTGAATTCTGCCATGTATAGTAACCAAAATTTATTACCTCTGGATTTCTCAAACTAGGGTCCACATGGACCTACTGACATGGAAGCTACAGGCTACCCCAGGGGCATCTTCCCAACGGTCGATTTCACTGGATGCTACTAATTTAACACATTGTACACTAAGAAGAAAGATTTGGAACACTCGTGCACTGCTGGTGGGAATGCAGACTGGTGCAGCCACTATGGAAGACAGTATGGAGTTTCCTCAAAAAGTTAAAAATGGAACTCCCATTTGACCCAGTGATCCCACTTCTAGGACTATATCCCAAGAAACCAGAAACACCAATCAGAAAGGATATATGCACCCCTATGTTCATAGCAGCACAACTCACCATAGTGAAGATCTGGAAACAGCCTAAGTGCCCATCAGCAGACGAATGGATTAGAAAACTGTGGTACATCTACACAATGGAATACTACGCTGCTGTAAAAAAGAAGGAATTCTTACCATTTGCAACAGCATGGATGGAACTGGAGAGCATTATGCTAAGTGAAATAAGCCAGTCAATGAAAGAAAAATACCACATGATCTCACTCATTTATGGATAATAAAGACCATTATAAACTGATGAACAAAAATAGATACAGAGGCAGAGCAGTATCGAACAGACTGTCAAACTACAGCGGGAAGGCCAGGGAGGGTTGGGGAGCTGGAAGGGGTGGGTAAGAGATCAACTGAAGGACTTGTATGCATGCATATAAGCATAACCAATGGACACAAGACACTGGGGGGTAGGGGAGGCTGGGGGAATGTCAAGGGGGAAAAAAAGGAGACATATGTAATACTCCTTGTAATACGTTAAGCAATTAAAAAAAAAAAGAAGAAGAAGAAAGATTTGTTGTGGAAGAAGACACACAGGGATGGGGTTGGAATGCTGATGTGAGAGAAGTCTGGGCCAAGGCCACCCCAATGTCAGTGAGGCGTACATGCAGCCATGCTCCTACCCTAGGCTGCAGTGGAGTTACAGATACCACCGCGCCTTCCTGGGAGAGCAAGCTCTGGCCTAGGGTCCAGGCTTGGCCAGTGTCCTGAGGCGGTGTCTGCTGAGGGAAGCAGGGGCTGAGGGGTTTCATGGTAGCCAGGGGCAGAGGGGAGAAGGGGATGGGGTACAAATGTTCAGTTATAAGAATAACTTTTGAGGATCTAATGCATAGCACAGTTACTATAGTTAATATGGTATTGTTTACTTGAAAGTAGATCTTAAGCATTCTCACAAAAATAAAAGTAACTATCATGTGATGTATGTGCTAATTATCTTGATCTTTATAATCATATATATATGTCATCATATTGCACACTTGAAATATATACAATTATATTTTTCAATTATTCCTCAATAAAGTTAAAAATAAAATTTACAAAGTATCAGCCCCCTAAGAAACATCAGAGACAGCCAGACCCTACCAAATTTATTAACGTTCATAGGGACCTTAGAGACCATCGAGGCCAGTGCTCTTGGACTGAGAAGGAAAACAAAGTCAAGAAGTAAACTGACTTGCTAAAGCCACTCAGTTAGCTAGGAACAAGGCTGGGCCTGGAGCCCATGGCCGGTAGCATTGGCCTCTCCCACGGCAGTCTGTTGCATTGCCTGGAATCCCACCATCAAAATTTCCCCTTCTGAATTCACGAGCCCTAACTCCGCCCATAAGCAGTTAGATGTCCCTGTCGAATGTGCCAAAGCACACTGCCCCTCCTCTTTCACCCGGTGTTATTATTGCCTGTTTAATTGTCTGTCCTGCCCCCCAAACAGATCTTCTTGTAAGCGCCATCCGGGTAAAGAGAAGGTATTACTTGCTTGCCGTTAGAATCTAGTACATAGTGGGTTCTCATAATTAATATCTTCATAGTCACTGTTTGGAAAAATAAATAAATGAGTGAATGAATGATCACCACCTCCTCATAGCACAGCCCTTGTAAGGCTGCAGGGGGCTTGGTATAACCAGCTAACCTCCTCCTCAACGCTAGCCGAGACAAGGTTGATGATTTGATGAGAAAGAGAGGAAACAAATCCACAAGAGCATTTTGAGGAAGACAGGCTGAGGCGAGAAGCCCAGCGGAAGCATAAAAGTCCAGAGCACCCGACTCAGATCAAGAGACTCGAGTTCAATGAGACGGAGGAGACAGGAGGCCCCGTGCAAACAGCCTGGCCTGCGATTCTGTGTAGGACTTGGCCCAGCCAGGGCCTGATCTCCTCATGGAGCAGCAGGTGTTTCCAGCCAGAAACTTTGCTCTCCTTCTCCTTCACAAACACAACTCCTGAGCCATTAATTTCTTCCATTGTGCAGGGAGCCTGCCAGGACTTTCCTGGAGCTGATGAGTCATGTTCCCTGAGCACAGAACATCTCCCGAGGGAAGGGAGGGCTGTGGGGCATCCCACACCCCAGGGACGCTCTGCCCAAGGGTGCCCAGACTCAGAAGCACCCAGGAAAGGCCCTGTCGGAGGCGCTGGGATAAATCCCGCAGGTGCCGGGAAAACTTTGCTTGGTGGTCGGGGCTGCAGGAAACCAGGCACTCCTAGTTGCTAAGGTTAAACAGAAATGAGACATCAGACCTGTCTTCGCTTTCTGTTCCTTTGAGTTCCATTTCCCAGGAAGGATTACTACGAAGAGAGCGCTCAGAATGTCTTGACTGTAGATCCGAGTTCATCTGGATTTGCTGGCGGTAGACACATAGACTCTCTTTTTTTTTTTTTTTTTTTTTAAATATATTTTATTGATTTTTCACAGAGAGGAAGGGAGAGAGATAGAAAGTTAGAAACATCGATGAGAGAGAAACATCGATCAGCTGCCTCCTGCACATCTCCCACTGGGGATGTGCCCGCAACCCAGGTACATGCCCTTGACCGGAATCGAACCTGGGACCTTTCAGTCCGCAGGCCGACGCTCTATCCACTGAGCCAAACCGGTTTCCGCGGTAGACACATAGACTCTCTTGACTGATGGAAAACATCAAAGGCAGGAGGGACAGGAGAAGAAAGGGTGGCCTTCATGACCTGGGCTGGCACCCACAGAAACCTGCAAAACAAATGCAGAAATCGCAGCCCCTTAGGTTTTCACACACTTTGCAAGGTTGTCTTGACACTGTGGAGCATGCCTACTTGTTATAATCTCACGTGAGTCCATTTAGTCAGCCCCTGCTGGGTGCTGGGTGCCAGGACTGTGTTAGATTTGTGGTTTCCAGAAGTTATCCAGAATCTTTTGCTTCCTTAAAACTCTAACATGTCACCCACCTAATACTGGTCCTGCATGTTAATATTCCCTTTGGGATATGAATACCATTCCTTTGGCCCAAATGACCAGGGCAACAGAGACAGTCTGGGAATTTGCTTCCACTCCAAATGCTATTGTGTTCCGGTTTCTTTTTCTGCTCTCAGCTTTCTGTGGAATACACTCCTTTTTACTTCTCTCCTTCTGTTTGTCACACAGCCTGATACAGTCACATGCACCACACACACAGAGAGATACACACACATAGGGAGCTAAAATCGTGACGATAATGGAAAGACGCTTCACTCTTGGTATTTCTGTTTCCTCGTCTGAAACTGAGAGTGTTGATGAAGACAGGCTCTCAGGACCCTTCCAAGTCTCTCCCTGAGACCCTGAGGTTCTGCGCAGACAGGGCTGAGCACCCAGGTCACGAGCAAAGTGAAGACCAGAGACGCTGACATTCTGGGGCTGCTGAGCTGCTCTGCTCCGTGCCCAGCATGGAATAGTCTGAATTACAAGACACTCGGCACAGTTCAGCCACGTCCAGGAAAGGAGGAGAGCTGTGCTACTGGGGTAAGGGAATAACAGTTAAGTGATGAAAGGATCAACATCCTTTAGGTAGCTGACTTGTTTCTAGGTCTTTACCCAGAAGGTGACTCTGACCTGCGATTGGGAGAGGAGCCTGGGTTGGCAGCAAGCTAAGGGAGAGCAGGCAAGAAGAGGGATGGCTTCTATCCCTCCTTCAACTGGACGTGAGCCAGGCAGCATTGATGCCTGGCCCCTGGAAGCTTCTTCAAAGCTGTGAGGGACCAGAACACAACCCACCTCCAACCCTTATAGAACAAGACAGAAAATATTCTCCCCCCCTCACCTATTCCTACAGTGTAACCCCAAAGAATGGATAAAGGTGCAAATAGAGAAGGGACAGGATAGCCCAGAATGACCATATTGATTTGTATTAAAAGGGCAAGGACTGCCCTAGCCGATTTGACTCAGTGATTAGAGCGTTAGCTCTCGGACCGAAGGGTCCTGGGTTCAATTCCGGTCAAGGGCATATACCTCAGTTGCAGGCTCGATCCCCAGGCCCAGTCGAGGCACGTGCAGGAGGCAACCAATCGATGTGTCTCTCTCACATGGACGTTTCTCTCACTGTTAATGATAGCCGTGCCTTCACAAGGTCTCGTCTTTTGCCGGGGCTTCAAACTTTAGGAATCCAACGTTTGCTAGAAAGTCCTTTCTCTGAGAACATTGCTGCCTTCCTGAAACCACGGACTGGGGGGGAGAAGCCAAATAGCTTCTTTTCAAACGAAGGTCATTCATTATTGCTCATAAACAGTCATCATCGGTGTGACCTGCCTGCCTCAAAGCCTTGAGCAGAACATGGTCATGTGAGGCTTCGACCCAGAGCAGAATGGCAGGCATTCGGAGGGGCGCAGCCCCTCACCTCCCTTTCCGCCGGGACATCGGAGAATCCAAATGCTTGTTCACTGCAGCCGAGAGGCCTCCCCGCAACCTGCCACGTCATAAGCTGCCCCTGCTGATGTTCCTCTCGGGAACCCCACTTAGCACAAACATCAGGTGCTTGGTGTTGTGCACTGAAAACCTACACATGAGAAGCTGCTTTGGGGACTGTTAGCTGCAGAAGCTAAATGTTGTTCCCGCCTCCAAAAGATACTGGCATTGAACATTAGCCTCAGATATCTACATAACAAACACTTTTCCTTGCAATTTTACTCTAAAACAGGAGGGACGTTATCTCAATTGTGTCAGAGGTTTTGTCTATCTCTGAAGAATGGCGTTATTTAGGAAGCATTTGGGGGGGGGGGGGCAAATAGCTTTTAGCACAATCCTGTCTTATTAGGCCAGGCATGGAAGGAGTCTTGTCCTGCTGTGTTACTGAAGCCCAGGTTTGCTCCTGCCTTTCTCTGATCCCCTGGGTATCTCCATTTTATTATTTGACTCCTCATCAACACTGTTCCCAAAAGAGGAGCAAGAGAAAACAGAGGTCCCCGGAGCTGGGTTGGTTAAGTTCCTACTCCTTTGGATGTCTGTGGACAATATTTCCATTTTTAATGTGATGTTCCTCCTTGATTCAGAGAAGTTAGTCTCATGGGGGATTTGATGTGAGATGGCAGGTGAATTTTGAGCCAAGGTCAAAAACAAAACTTTAGAATTCAATACAAAAGAACATTCCTTCACTCTTCCAATAATAAAAAGTGTAAAGGATTTTCCGAACGACATGCAAAAATGTGAAAGGTTTTTTTCCATGGGTTGCTTTACTTGAAGTTGATGTGAAAGAAGAAAGAAACTGGATTCATGACCTCTGGGCTCTCGGTCCAAAGATATAGAGACGCAAGCTGGAAATAGAAAGAAAGGGAGGTGGCTGTCTGGGGTTAGGGCAGACTGACCAGGGCTGACCATCTGTGGCCATTAGACGAGGCTGCTCCAAACACAGCAGCCAGAGAGCAGCTCTGTGATCTAAGGCCCTCGTGATGTCTTCCACACTCACATGAAAAGGCCGTGGTGTGCCTCTCACGACCCTAATTTTACTTCCAAAGGTTTGAAGGAATACACACTTAACTACGATGTTGAATGAGAGTTCTTACAGCCTCGAGTACCACACCGGCCCTAAGAGCCATTTCCAGCAAAGTCTGACCATACTGTCATCTATGGTCATTACAAATAGGCTATCGGAACCAACCCCAGAAATTGCAACCATTACCAAAAAGAAAAGAATAACTACATCTAAACCAGAGCAGGCTTCAGTGATTAAAAAATGCTTACCTCGTACCATCAAGAAGTACTGTGTCATAAAGCAGGATTAGAGGCTCTGCCCCACTGTAGGCATATCTCCTGTATGAAAGATGGTACATTATTCTCTATGGCTACTTAATATTATATATCTGACAACTAGAACCCGTAACTCTGAAGAAAAACAACAGCTTGATCATTTGCACAGTCATTTCTCCAAGGTTAACTGGAGCAAGAAACATTGAGGAGAAGCATCTGCTGTATTCTCCATGCCAAAGGGAAGGAGGGAGTGTATTGATTGGTGACCGGGCTGTTTGTAGGGTTATCATTCACTTGGCATTGGAATTACCTTGTTGAGAACGTAAAGGTCAGAAGCTTGTGGATCCTTCTGACTTGGCCCAGAAGCAGAGTTCAGGTTCCAGGTGGTCAGGACCAGACACGCCTGCAACAGCTCTCTGACCAGACATGATGTAGGTGGGGCTGCATCCGCATCCCTTGACAATCGATGGAGACTCCTGGCAGGTGTCCTCTGAGAAACGCAGAAAAGAAGGGAAGGGTTTCACAGACTGTACTTGGGGGAGAGATAACAAATTAAAAGTTAGTATGTCTGAGTCAGAAAAGGGACTTTACCGGGGTAAGTAGGTACTGATCATATTGGAGATCTGGGGAGAAAACAAATTGCATTTGGCAGCATGACAAGGAACGGTTCCACGTGTCAAGGTTAAAGAAAATTCTCTCCTATTTGAAGTGAGACTTGCATTGGAACCTGCAGAAAGGCTAGCACCTGGGTAGGAGAGAAATAACTTTAAGAACTTAAAAGTGGTATGTTTCATCCTAGTTGAAATAGAAAATTAACATGGAAAATAATGAGAAAGTGGTTAAGCGAGAGGTTGGCCTTCTATCTCTGGCTATAACAACACGAGAAATTTTATCCTGAGGGCAACTTCACTCCATTGGGAGCAGCTGCCTGGAACGATGTGTCAAGGATTCTAAGGCAGTGTTTGCACTTCTGAGGGAAGAGTCATGATCAATTAGCAATGCCTGCCCTGGGCGCTGGATGGTGATGGCCATGCTGCACATCTGCTGATCGGGTCTTATAGTAAGGAGCACCTTAGAGGTCTGAAAGCAAGATAAGCTCCATTAAACAGAGATCTGCATGTTTACTGCGAGAGAAAAATTGCCCCCAAATTTTAAAATGTCAAACATTGTGCTGAAAGAAAGATGCAATCATGATTATATCTTAGATTTAACTTGTCTGCTGTTTCATTCGACAAATGTCTTCATATGCCTGCCCGCCAGAAGCTTGGCACCAGGAATAAAAATGGGCAATAGCAATGGCTTCTGCGTTCCAAGAGCTCACAGTTCAGGCAGGGAAATAGGTAAGTGACTGACTACCAGAGCTGCAGGGGGGTCAGCTGAGGACACTGTAGTAGGTTGGAAAATGGAGCCCAAGGATATCCACAACCCCAATCCTGGCCCCTGCGATGCAATGTACTAGTATATGGAGAAAGGCGGGGAGAGGGCGCTTTGCCGATGCGATTAAGGTAAGAATTTTGAGATGGGAATTTTAGCCCAGATTATCTGAATGGACTGTATGCAAATGCATGCACGTACATCCTTATGAAAGGGATGCAGAGGGGAATTTGGTACATACCACGGAGGAGAAGACGATGGGCCCACAGGGCAGAGAACAGAGTGATGCAGTCACAAGCCGATGCCGAGGAATGATGGCGGCCACCGGAAGCTGGAAGCCAGAAGAGGCAGGGAACAACGTCTCCTCCAGTCTCTGCGGGGAGCAGGGCCCCACCACCGCTTTGATTTCGGCCCAGTGATGCTGATTGCAGACTCATGATCTAAAAGAATACATTGCTGTTGAGTCCACACATTTTCTGATACTTTGCTATGACAGTCATAGGGAATTAATACATAGTTTGCAAGCGTGTAGGAGAGTGGCTCATTCAGGGTTCCTGGGTCAAGCTTGGGGATTGATTCTGGCTGATTTAAACCAAAAGACTCCCCTGAAAGGCTCTGAAGGTTCTTTTTTTTTTAAAATATATTTTATTGATTTTTTACAGAGATGAAGGGAGAGGGATAGAGAGCTAGAAACATCGATGGGAGACAAACATCGACCAGCTGCCTCCTGCACACCCCCTACTGGGGATGTGCCTGCAACCAAGGTACATGCCCTTGACCGGAATCAAACCTGGGACCTTTCAGTCTGCAGGCCAACACTCTATCCACTGAGCCAAACCGGCCAGGGCTGCAGTTCTCTTATGTGATGTTTACAGGACCTAGAGGAGCTGGAAGAGCAAGCTCAGAAAAAGGGGATGATCCCAGCATTAAAAAGGATCACTACCCTCTCCATTCTTCCGTCTTTATTATTTCCCTCCTGATTACAAAGTGTGAAGTCAATCCAAAGGGTTATTGAAAGGAAAAAGGGAGAATTTGGGGTTGAAGCAAAAGAGAGACCATGTGTGACCCTTCTGTACTTCACTGTACTACGTCCTCGGCTTTTTGGCTTGGAATCCCCTATCCATCACCAACACTGAGAGCAACTCAGGAAGTGTGTATTACGTTGCTTAGCAACCCGCACTGTTTGTGTGACTAACTCCTTGCCTGGACATATATGAGTATAACTTTGTCTCCCTGCAGATTATAACTGAGTCACACGTCTGATTTTATGAGATCAGGGGAGAATAAAAGCATTACTTGCCCAGGTGGTGGCCTGCAGCTACTGAAATGAAGCAGAGCTCTAAGACCTTCAGGTGAGATGACTCAGAAGACTACAGGGAGGGCAATGAGGATGAACAGGGATGGCATGTTTCAGGAATAGACTGGAAATAAATCCTATTAATATCACCCTTCCAAAGAGGCACAGGAGATCCAGTCTAGGGGTGTCTGTCAGCCAGGGCACCAGTGCTGGGCTGAGATGGTCAGTAGAATCAGCAGGATTTATGTCAGACACAGTTGATCTCTTGTCATTGTTCTTAAATTGGGCCTTAATACCCAGAAGTTTCTTGGGAAGATGTAATGCTCATGACCTATGGATAAGATAAAAAAAACAAAACAAAATCATGCTGAACATAAAGCATAGTTGCATATACCCTATACTGCTATTGGTATAAATAAGCCTATAAGCAAGTGATTCGCATTTAAGCCACTGGAACTCACTGTCACTTGGGCCACAGGCTGGTCCTTGGCTGCTTGGTCGGTCTCTCCCTTGCCCTGACATCTTCTTGTCCCGTCATCAAGAGAACCACAATCAAGGAGAGGTGCCACTTAGCAGATGTACACTATAAGCAACTCTCCAACTTCCTTATCTGTAAACTGGGCAAAATATAGGACTTCATTGTTCTGGAAATTTGATGGGATAATATGAATAAAGTATATATCACTGCCTGGCCCATAAAAAAACACTCCATAAATGGTAATAATTTGGATCAGGTTAGAATCCTAGCTCTATCGCTTACCAGCTGTTGATCTTGTACAGACTTTTCACCTAGGTGAGCTTCCATGTCCCCCTTCATAACAATACCAATCACATAGAATTCTTGAGAATATTTAACTGAGATAACATATATAAATGAGCCTGGCGCAGAATGGGGTATTCAACTAGTATTCATTAATCAGTGAAATAACTTTTCTGTTTCTACCCATTTGTTCCCTTTCATGTGGATGAACCTAATGCTTGCATAGTTGGGCTTATGTGGCTCTTTCCTCCAAAAAACCAAATTTCTATAAGTTAATTAGACTTTTATAAACAACTTAATGAGAGAGACCATTTGTGCTACAGTTTGATGTCCCTGGTGCCTGGCACATAGTAGATACACAATAAAATAAAAAGTAAAATTAATTAAAATAATGTAAAATTAGAGTTCTCCTCTGTCCCTGACTTCTTGCCCTGCACTACCTCCCAGCAGCCCCCTATTCCACCTCATAATGTTTCTTGAAATCTTATTTATTGGTTTGATGAAATCGAGGGTGGACTCAGAAAGCACAATAGTGACAATAAAGAATAAATTCTGAATCTTATAGATTATTTCCTTTCCTGTGATTAGAGTTAAGAAAATAACAAAAGATGTCTTTCTTTAAACTAATTAATAACCCAACCATTATGTGGAATTGGTGTGATTGGGTGAGAGGGTGCAATTCATGCATCCCCAAAATTACACAAGTTGACCCACTGGGGTATGGGAAATATTAGAACTTTAATTCAATTAGTACTGTAGTACATGTACAAAATGTATAAATAAATGAGTTCTATTTTGGGGGGTGCATACCCATAAACTGTGATGGAGTTACAGCTTACACAATCAAAACAGTGGTCATTTAAATCATATATTTAATGTTACAGTCCGCCATTATTCTTATACCCAAAACTTACTATTTTAACTTCATTGCCATTTTAACTTCATTACTTTGGATGTGTTAGAGTTACCAGCTTTTGAAGGTCAAATACCTTTATTATATTTATGGGGAAGGAAGGGAAAAACAGGAGGGATGGGATGAGAAGAGAAAAGAGAAGAGGGAAAGAGGACAGGGAAGAGAAAAGACCATGTGGATTAAACTGATAAAATCTCCAGAGAAGAACTTAATCACCTCATGCATCCTGCTAATAATATTTCTATGACTAACACCCCAAGTGATAGACAATGTAGAACAATACACAAACAAAACCCAAGTTTTGTCAGCCGATGTAGACAAAAAGTGGCCCAAATGGAGTCAACAGAGACCAGCTTTCTTCCACAGTAACACAAAGCTCAGTGTGGTCCGGGCCGGATGTCTCATTTGTGCTCTCTTCATCTGCTGGCCTCTCCGGGCCTGTGATCTGGACCGGGTCCTTGGCTATTGACTCCGGGGGCTGTTTATAATGATCTGTCCTGCTGCTCTCTGCTTTTCCGTTCTCTGAAAAGGGATTAAGTCATGACCAGAGGCCCCAAGGCTTCCCTAGGCATGTACAGGGCAGTAGGCCATTCATTCCAAGTGGCTAAATGGTTAGAGGAGTTACCAGAGGCCTCCTTCTTAGAGCAGTGGTTCTCAACCTTGGCTGCACATCAGAATCACCTCCGGAGGATGAGGCCCAGAAATCAGGATTTTAAAAAGATTCCCAGGAGATTCTAACGTGCAGCCACGGTTGAGAACCACTGTCTTAGAGGAATGTTTTTGTTAGATATTAAATAGTTAAAATTTTCCTCTACTCCATTATTGAAGCTTCTCTTTCTACCTAGCCACACAGGCATGAATGTAGGTGTCAGATCTATTTCTACAACTACCAAGAGGGTGAGGTACACCCTATTCCCATGGACAGTCTTGCCCCAACATTCAGGGGCTACTCAGGGCCCATTAAAGCTGGTTTCTGGACACACTCATCTTCTGAGAAGTATTCCCTGTCTGTTATCTGAATAATCATTATTAATAAAACGGTCCACTAGTGAGTCAGCCCAGTCTTGCTTGGGCAAGTCATGACTAAGTCAATTCTCAGACTTGTGACCCAGGGGTTCAGTGCCAACATGGAATAATTGCTTTTTCTTCTTTGTCATCTTAGGGCCAAAGTTTTAGCCAGCTGAAACATGAAGTTAACTAGTATGGAGACCAAATTTAAAATAATATTTCAATACAAATAAAGTTTTTCATTGAAATAAAATTTCAAATTTGGTGTTACAGCCACGCACCATTTAACAACAGGAATATGTTCTGAGAAATTCAGCGTTAGGCAATTTCGTCCTCGTGCAAACATCATAGAGCACAATTCCACAAACCTAGGTGGGACAGTCTACTACTATGATTATTTGTGCTGTGCTTTTATAGGACTGGTAGTGCTGTAGGATTGTTACACCAGCATCACCACAAACACGGGAGTAAATTGTTCCGCTACACAAAACAGCTACTACATTACTAGGCAATAGAAAATTTTCAGCTCCATTATACTCTTACGGGACCAACATGGTATATGCGGTCCATTGTCCATTAAAATGTCATTATGTGGTGCGTGACAGAATTGTTAAAATGCTTTCATGACTTTTCAACACTTCACTAAGGCTCTTCTTAAGGACATCCATGTACCCCCATCCATCCTCTTCTACTTGGATTTCCGCTCTTTTAGAACATTTGCCCTCTCTTCCCCACCTTGAATTCTGAGCCATCTGATCTGCCCGTCCACATCTACCCCATCAGCAACATCTAATTCACTTCACATGTCCTCCTGAAACTTTACTAATGTTTGCAGCCCGCATCAATTCCCCTCTCCCCCCACATTTGCAACAGTCCATGCACAGCCCGTCAGTTTAAGCCACTCTATGCTATTCTCCAATAATCCAGGGAAATCTTGGATGTGTTCAACGAGCACATTCCATAAAACTCAGCATTCATTATCATACTAAGTGTATACGAAGCTGTCTATAGCCAATCAGCATGTTTAGAACTTTGACCTTAAGGTTGCCTGTTTCTGTGTTAATCAGAGGAGATGTGCTACCATGCCAAGAACAACTCTGGTATGAAGAAAACGCAAGCCCTGACCGGGTTGGCTCAGTGGATAGAGTATCGGCCTGCAGACTAAAGGGTCCCGGGTTTGATTTTAGTCAAGGGCATGAACCTTGGTTGTGGGCACATCCCCAGTGGGGGATGTGCAGGAGGCAGCTGATCGATGTTTCTCTCTCATCGATGTTTCTAACTCTCTATCCCTCTCCCTTCCTCTCTGTAAAAAAATCAATAAAATATATGTAAAAGAAAGAAAATGCAAGGTCCTAGAAACAAAACATATCTGATAACTCCTTATATTTATGTGAGAGAATTTCTCCAGTTTAAATACTTTAATGTTACTGAAGAGTTTCCATATCCCAGGCACCATATTACTAAAAAATAAATAAAAATCTTTTAGGTAGCCTATATTATCCCCATTTTAAAAATGAGGAATCTGAGACTCAGAGAAGTTAAGTAACTGGCTTAAGGTCACACAGAAAATAAATTACAGAAATAGGATTTAAGTAGGTTTATATGACGCCAGAGCCAACCTCCTCAATCTCTATACTGCTCTATATATGAGTGTCCTGTGGATCTGTGTCTGTTAATTTTGTTTCTCCACCAGAATTATAAATCTTTTAAGGGTTTATAATGATAAATAGAGGCCTGGTGCATGAATTCCTGCACCAGTGGGGTCCCTTGGCCTGGCCTGTGGTATTGAGATAAAACTCGCTCTCCGACATTCCCTGAGGGGTACCGGATTGCTAGCGGGTGCAGGCTAGGCTGAGGTACCCCACCAGTGCAGAATCAGAGCTGGGGAGGGACACAGGAGGTTGGCCAGCGGGGGAGGGATCGTGGGAGGGCTCTAGGGCATGTCCGGCCAGTCTCACTCAGTCCTGATTGGCTGGACTCCAGCAGCAAGCTAACCTATTGGTTGGAGCATCTGCCTCCTGGTGGTCAGTGCATGTCATAGCAACTGGTCGACTAGTCGACTATCTGCCCTGGGGTGGTCTGTGCACATCATAGTGAGCAGTTAGCGGCCTTAGCATATCATTAGCATATTACGCTTTGATTGGTTGAACGGATAACCGGACAACTGGATGACTGGACACTTAGCATATTAGGCTTTTATTATATAGGATACTGTTTATTATAAGAACTACCACTTATTAAGTACTTACTATGTGCCAGGTGTGCATAACATTTGAAAAATATATTTAATTTCATTTAACCCTCACACAACCTGATTATTGAGGTACTAGTTCCATTTCACAAATGGGGAAACTGAGTCACAAAGCATTTAAATAGTTTGTCCAGAGTCATACAAACAGACAGTGGAACAAACCCAAGTTCTCCAGGGCTTGAAGCTTATGTAAGTTGTAGTAGGAAAGCTCTCCTAAAGAAAAGATATTCAAAAATACAAAATGAAATATGAAAGTGAATATTCAAAATAAAATTAGAAACCACAACTGATCACTTGGGTCTTAGATATGCAAGTTTCTCTCTTCTGAAAGGCCTTTGGGCAATTTCCCTGAGATGCTTACATACAAAATGAACACTGCAACTCCTTTCGCTCACAGGGGCATGCAAGGAAAGGGCCTTGAACCTGAAGCAGCACTAGCTCATGATAAACCTGCCTCCGGACAGACAGGACTTAATCCTGATCTGCCTGTCCTTCTCCAAAGCCCGCATCCAAGGTACCATTTTGGATTTGCACAGTCCAGAGGGCTGTTCTTAAAAGCAAATTTATATTTTGCACACATCATGCATTATATTAAGTCCATTTTCTTATTGAAATGTTCCATATATCAAATCCCAGGTTTGTTCTACAGTTCTTGACAAGAGTTATTATCCTTCCTCTATTGTTTTCATAATAAGGTTACAATTTAAAATAACAATAGTCAAGATATATCTTTATTAGCATGGCAATCAAAAACTCACACCACATATACTTTGGGGATCAACAGACATC